GGGCAGGCAGGCAGCCCTTCCGGGCCGCGGTGGGGAAGCCTCAGGGATGCCAGGTCCCCAGCAAGTGGCTCAGGTCCCTGTGGTGAGCTGGGAGGGGCTTCTCCCCACCCCTGCCTCTCAGCGGTAGCTGGGTGACTCCATCTGATACTTCTTCCTCTGAAAGGCAGGTGGGGCAGCCTTCTCCCTGGTGTACTCCCGTCCTCCATCTGAAAACTCAGGCGTGGGCAGAATACAGGGCTCGTCGGCGAGCCATCCCAGACTCAGCCTTTGGGGAATTAAAGAGGAAAAAATACATCAGCCTTCAGACACAGAGTGTTGTGTTGAGGATGGAAGAGCAAGGGCCAGAAGATGTATGAGCCTAAAAGCTTTGTTAATAGGCCTGGAAGACTGACAGTCACAGCTGCTGTGGAGGGAGAAAGGTGGCAACGGCAATCGAATGGCAAATTAGCTGAGGTCTGGGTTTTACGGTGCTGTTTCAGTGGAGGGAGGAAGAAGAAAAGGCTCCCCCTCTGCAGCCCGAGGAACCCAGGAATAGCTGGGGACACCATGTTTGTGCTGGGCCAGGGGCTTCTCAGCGGAGTTTGCTCAGTGTGGCCCGTCTGTCCTGCCAGTACGTGCCAAGGCCGCTGCGGGCACTGCTGACTTCCTTTGGTTTATTTCTTTTGAGTGGTGTTTATTAGCGTGGATTAGAAATGGGATTTGGGTCCGTACCACAAAGACCTCTAAGCCCCAGTTTGAAATCCCAGACACAGCGAGCAGAGATGCTCCAGCCACGGAGAGGCTCTTCCCCGCTTCTTCATGGCTGTGGCCCTTTGGGGTCTATAATCGGAGGCGAAGAACAAGCTGACTGTAACTCGGGGAGGGTTTCTACCTTTTTTTGTTAATCGTTGTGCACACGGGTACCCCGTGGGGACTGGGCCAGGTGGCACCCTGACCCTAACGCCACCTCCAGGGTTGCTGTTTTTGGATAAAATGCACAACTCATAACAAACGCCATCCTCACGACATGGCACGGCACGGTTCATTGTTGTCTTGCGGTGTTTGCCTGCTCCCAGCCCATAACCTGGTGTGATAGGTGACAGAACAGGGAGGAGGGGAGACGGAGGGTGAGCCTGTCCCTAACCCCAGTCCTGGGACGTCCCATCCCGTCATCTCCTTCCAAGTCCTTTGGCTTCTGTCCCTTTGCACTGAAGGAGCCCGGCCCTGCGGCACCACAGAGCCCCGTGCCCACCCCCAGCCCCGGACTGTGTAGATTTTGCGTATGAGCCATGGGGGAGATGGGACATTCCAAGTCAGGAAGCATGAGTAGACCTCCCATAAGCGTCTCTGCCAGAGAGAGGCGGACAGCAGCGTGGAGGCGAGCCGCCCGTCCTCCGCAGGGCTGTCCTCCTGCTGGATACCTCCCTGCTCCTGGGAGTACAAGCCACAGGCCTCTAATTTCACCCTGGCTCCTTCCCACCTCCTCCTATCCCTGTTTCATGGGACCCATGAGGTTGGCATCTAATCAGTGAGTCAAAACTACGTACGTGCTTGTAAAACGGACGCCCACGAGGTCTGGTCTTGGTGAATTCGTGATCAAAGCAGCTCAGTCCAGGACCCAAAAAACAATCACAAAATAAGGCAGGTTTTCCTCGCATTTCTCAAATACTATCAAGAGGGCACACAGACCACAGCCATGCCCCGTCCTCATCTCCTCTTGCTGCTGCGTCACAAAAGTCCAAGGAGCCAAAGCACAGCTCTTCCCCCAGAGAGCAGGACAGAAAGAGGCAGAGCCTTTGAGCAGATGGAGGAAGGAAAGGCCAGGCCCAACCCCATGCTCATCACTCCTGCCCCAGTGCACAGGTCAGGGCCACAGAGAGGAGAGGCCACAGAGAGGAGAGGCCATGGGGAGGGGAGCCACAGAGAGGAGAGGCCACGGGGAGGAGAGGCCACGGGGAGGGGAGCCACGGGGAGGAGAGGCCACAGAGAGGAGAGGCCACAGGGAGGAGAGGCCACAGAGAGGGGAGGCCACGGGGAGGAGAGGCCACGGGGAGGAGAGGCCACGGGGAGGAGAGGCCACAGAGAGGGGAGGCCACAGAGAGGGGGGGCCACAGGGAGGAGAGGCCACAGAGAGGGGAGGCCATGGGGAGGAGAGGCCACCTGGGGAGGAGAGGCCACAGGAGGAGAGGCCACAGAGAGGGGAGAGGCCTGGGAGGCCACAGGGAGGAGGAGTCACAGAGAGAGGTGGGAGGCCACGGGAGGAGGCCACAGGGAGGGAAGCCCACCTGGGAGGGGCCACAGAGAGGAGCCACGGGAGGAGCCACAGGGAGGGAGAGGCCACAGGGAGGAGAGCCACAGAGAGGAGAGGCCACAGAGAGCCACAGGGAGGAGGCCACGGGAGGCACGGGGAGGAGGCCACGAGGAGGAGAGGCCACAGAGAGGAGGCACAGGGGGCCACAGGGAGGAGGCCACAGGGAGGAGAGGCCACAGGAGGGAGCCATGGAGGAGCCACAGGAGGAGAGGCCACAGGGAGGAGGCCCACAGAGAGAGGCCACAGGGAGGAAGGGCTGGGAGGAGCCACAGGAGGAGGGCACAGGGAGGAGAGCCACGGAGAGGGGAGGCCACAGGGAGAGAGCCACAGAGAAGGGAGGAGAGGCCACAGGGAGGGGAGCCACAGGGAGGAGAGGCCACAGGGAGGAGAGCCACGGAGAGGGGAGGCCACAGGGAGGAGAGCCACAGAGAGGGGAGTCCACAGAGAGGGGAGCCACGGGGAGGAGAGGCCACAGGGAGGGGAGGCCACAGAGGGGAGGCCACAGGGAGGGGAGGCCACAGGGAGGGGAGGCCACACCAGCCTCATTTGCAATTTCGTGCCCGCCCTCGAGGAGCCTCATGACTTGCTAGGGGAAGCAGACATGCAAACAGCAGAAAGTGGTTTGGTGCCGTTGTAGCAGAGAGCACAGGGCGTTCAGCCAGCCAGGGCACAGGTGAGATGGGCTTCCTGGAGGAGGCAGTTTTGTAACTGGTGCGAGAGAAGACAGGTGGGCAGAGCAGAGGCAAGCCAGTCCCAACGGGAGGTGGTGGCAGGAGGCACCCAGGGCGAGACGGCGGGGGGCGTGGGATGCAGTTGGAAATGTAGACAAAGGGCAGGAGCCCAGTGTGGTCCTGGGGGCATGGGGAGCCTTTAAAGACGGTGAAGCTGGGATCAGCCACCCTCAGTATAGACAGATTTTGTTTCCAGTCTTATCTCCCACCAGCGGGTACCATGGCTCAGGGCTGTTTGGAAGACGGAGGAAGATGGCGCTCAGTAAGGGCCCAGCACAGTGCCTGGCATAAGAGCTCAACCCGCCCTAACCTTCCTCTGTAAGCACCAGCGTTTTGCATTCCCCAAGGAAAACCCTGACAGGCACCCTGACTCCTGCCCATCTGCTGCGTTTCTCACTTGTGAGAGCTTGTTACCCTTGATCCAGACCTTTCTGTGCAGTTGTACTCGGTATTGCAATGATATCACTTAATTAAATGTTATGCAAATTGACGGAAAGAGTCGTAAAAGAGACAGAATTGTTTCATGAAAACTGAGACTTTGGAAAGTCGTTTTTGTTCGTTTGTTTGTTTGTTTGAGATGGAGTCTTGCTCTGTTGCCCAGGCTGGAGTGCAATGGCGTGATCTCAGCTCACTGCAACCTCCATCTCACGGGTTCAAGTGATTCTCCTGCCTCAGCCTCCCGAATAACTGGGATTACAGGAGCCCGCCACAACGCCAAGCTTATTTTTGTATTTTTAGAAGAGATGGGGTTTCACCATGTTGGCCAGCCTGGTCTTGAGCTCCTGACCTCAAGTGATCCACTCGCCTCGGCCTCCCAAAGTGCTGGGATTACAGGCGTGAGCCACCGCGCCGCACCCTGGAAAGTCTTGATGGAAGCAATTTGCTTTATAAAAATCTATGGATTTAGGGGTGGGCAGGACAAGTGTGAGAACCAAGAGGAAGAAACGGAAAAAGGAGGATTCTGCAGTTGTCCTGCTTTGCCAGGGTCTGTGGGTCCCGCTGCAATTCAGAGAAACTGCAACTGGGGTCGCAGACAATGCAATACGTGGGCAGTTTATACCTGAGAGACTGTGCGGACCAGTCTTGCAGAAGCACCCAAGCCTGGCATTGAGAGACTGGTGAATGGATGTACATTTCTGTGTTTAAAATAGAACGTTTACAGGGTAGCTATATCCTGTATTATGACTCCCACTGTTGATTACCCAGCCAAATACGGTTTCCATTTAGTCCAGAAAACAGAGTTTCTCCACGGTAGGTGTTCACTGTGACAAGATCCTCGCCTCCCCTTGCTGGGATTCCAGCCCCGTCCGTCTGGCTCCCTTCCGCATTTGCGAGGCCCCACTGTGCGTTACTGGATGAACTGGGATGAGAGCCCAGGCCTGCTGGCTCCCAGTTCCGTTCTTGCAGTGAAATCAGAGGGTGGTGAGCAGGGTCTGTGGAACCAGCCGGCTGGGAGGAGACTCCCGGCTCTTCCACTACAACTTGGGCGCGTGCCCCGTTTTCTTGCCTGTGAAATGGGGGTCGTGCTGTTTCCTACCTCACAGTGTTGTTCTGAAGCTTCGGTGAATGTGTCTGTGGAAAGTGCCTGGAGTGCTCCCCGAGGGTCAGCTCGGACTCTTCCCGCACCCGCACCCGCAGGGCAGGCCTTGGGCCTTTTGCCTCATGAGTGCAGGCCTCAGAGCCGTCCCGTCTGCACCGAGGTGAGAATCAGCCTCCGCCGCGGCAAGCGGGTTCTGGTTCTGCCAGAGGAACTAGAACGGGGGGTGGCGTGTGGCGATGACTGGCCAACAGGCGAACTCTCTCTGCTGGTCACGCAGAGCCCACGTCCCAGCCTCCTCACACCAGGACTCGCCTCTTTGGCCGGCAGAAGCGCGTGTCCCCCCATCCCCAGGCCATTGTTCCTGCCCCGGCCCCTGCGCCCATGCCTGCAGGCAGAGGCTGGTCGGGTGACCTCCTGTGCTGTGGTCTGTCTCTTCCAGTGGTTTCCAGCGACAGTGACAGTGACTCTGATCTCAGCTCCTCCAGCCTAGAGGACAGACTCCCGCCCACTGGGGTCAGGGGCCCGAAAGGCGACAAACCCAGGAGGGAGTCAGGTAAGGGGGAGAGTCAAATGCTGCTTATTGGCTGGGTGCGGTGCACTCCAGCTTGGGCAACAAGAGCGAAACTCTGTCTCAAAAAAAGAAAAAAGAAAAGAAAAGAAATGAAATGAAACTATTAGGCTGGGCACAGTGGCTTATGTCTGTAATCCCAGCACTTCAGGAGGCCGAGGTGAGCGGATCATGAGGTCTTGAGACCATCCTGCCCAACACGTGAAGCCCCGCCTCCACTAAAAATAAGAAAATTAGCTGGGCGCGGTGGCGGGTGCCTGTAATCCCAGCTACTTGGGAGGCTGAGGCAGGAGAATCACCTCAATCTGGGAGGTGGAGGTGGCAGTGAGCCGAGACCGCGCCACTGCACTCCAGCCTGGGGACAGAGCGAGACTCTGTCTCAAAAAAAAAAAAAAAAGGACTGCTTATTTCCGAGGCCCCAGGCACAGAGTAGCTTTGCTGCACCTCGGATTGCTGCTTCCCAGCGGGTGTCCAAGGAGTTCTTCTACATCTGGAAGGAGAGGCGGGCTTAGGGACGGGACAACCAGGCTCTTTGAGGCTCCTCTGTACACACAGTGGGGGAAGGAGAGCAGGCAAGGGACAGGAGCCAGGGCCAGCCAGGTCACCGCATGCCCTTGGCTCACACACCTGGGACTCCTCCCACGCCCACCTGTGAACGTTCCCCAGCTGAGAGTTCACCTCCGGAATCGTGAGAGCTGAGAAAATCAGGTACAGAACTCCCTGCACTAGGTCAGTCCTGCCATGAAACCACCGTGGGGTCCCCAGGACCTGCTGTGACCTCTGGGCCTCCATTTCCTTCTCGTTAGCAAGTGAGACAGAACAGGGGGCCTCCAAAGCGCCTTCTGACTTGGATATCCCTGAGCTCACCCTCTGGGACCTGCCATATGAAAGAGAGTTAACTGGGGCGTTGAAACTGGCACAGAGAAGGCCTGGGAGAGGCAAGGAAAGATGTTTTCCTGTCCTTCAAACACACGAAGGACTTCTGGGAAAAGGGCTTCAGTCAGTCACTCCACAGGTCAGAGCTGGGATCCTTGACAGAAATTTCAGGGAGGCCAATTTTAGTACGTAAGAAGAAAGGGTTCTGTAATAACTGCCCCAAATGGGAATGAAATGCCTTGGGGGTCCTGTCTTGGGACCAAGACTGGGTTGGGAATGGAAGTTTGAGCTAAATCAGAGCTGGCAAACGCCTGGCACACGTACCACCACCCTCCACTCCCGTGACCATGGCAGACATTACTAGGTGCTCGTGATACAGAGCCCTGATCCGTCACCATGGCGAACATTACTGGAGGTGCTCAAATTACAGAGCTGATCCGTCACCATGGCGAACTTGTTACTAGGTGCTCGTGATACTCTTTCCACAGAGCCTGATGTGCCCTCCGAATAGCCCTGATCCGTCACCATGGCAGACATTACTAGGTGCTCGTGATACTCTTTCCACAGAGCCCTGATGTGCCCTCCGAATCATCCTCAGTGCAGTTTTCTAAGTGGCCAATGTCAGTAGGTAGAGATGGTGCAAGAGATGAAAACTTCTCCCGGACCAGTGACTTCCTAGGCCCCTCAGGCTGAAGATTCTAGAGATTTAGAAGAGTATAAAGGAAACTTACCTGCCGGCCTCAGTTTCCAGGGCAGGCTTTATACTCCCCTCCACCTCCCACTGTGGGCTCTTGTGCCCTCGCTCCACACCCACCCTCAGCTCTAACCAAGCAGGACTGGGAGACAGCGAAGCAGCGGGCTCCACGTCTGCTCTCTTGGCCAGGCCAGGACCAGAAACCATGTTTGAGTGAAGACCCTTTAGTGAGTTAAGGCAGCAGTCAACACCTCTCTCTTATTAGGTTAACCGAAATACATATCCCCCACCCCACCCCCACCCCCACCCCCACCCCATTCCGCGATCATTGTGGATTTTCAAGTTGGTGACGTGTGACTTAGTGAAACGACCTGCAGGCCCGTTCTTGGACCCTACAGCAGCGGTCAGAGGGTGGGGTCATGCCAGAGCCTGGCAGCCGTTTGGGTGGGGTGGGGGCAGACGTCCCGTAGAGACCCACCACAGTTCCGAACAAGGAACTGGACTGAGACCACCCTGTCTCAGTTTGAGATCCACAGGCCCACACGTGATCTCCCACAGGTGGCAGTGTGGAGGCCCCCAGGATGGGGTTCACGCACCCGCCGGGCCACCTCTCCGGGAGCCAGAGCAGCCTGGCCAGTGAGATGGGGACAGGCTCTGCCGACCCGCAGGGCGGGACCCTACCCCAGGCCGACCCGAAGGGCCCCGGTGAGTATCCAGCTGCTGTCTTCTCCCCTCTCCTGCCCCCGCGGCCGCGTCCTCTCTCACTCACTCCTTCCAAACTGGAGACTGGTTGGTGACATTTTCAATTCTGCATGTTTACCAAGCACTGTGTGGGGAACGAGGGGAGCCAGACCCCGTCCCTGCCTGCAAGGAACAGAGAGAGGGGCCCGGAATGAGAATGGTAACCATCCGTAGCCACTCTCACTAATTACAGCAGTGGTCACCATCCTCCGCTGTATAGAACGTGCCGGCTCCTCTGGGCCGAACCTTCGTTCTGTTGGCAGAGTGGCTGGGAGGCTTATTGTCCCCATTTGATGGGTGTAGAAACCAAGGCACAGAGAGAGTGCGGGGAGAATCGTGGGCTCCCACCCCGCCCTGTGCCTCTGGACCCAGTCCTGGCTGGCCCGGGAACTTCCTGTGGCGGGGGTGGGAGACTCTTAAACTAAAGCCAGAGAGAACTGCGCAGGTGCAGGATCAGCCCTGTCTCCTTCAAGAAGGAAGCTCCAGGCAGGTTGGGCCCCTCCCTGGCCAGAGGATTCATGGGTCCACGTGTGCACCAGGGCGGCAGCTGATCTCCGTCCCCAGGGGTAGAGGGCACCTGGCAGCCCCCCGCAGGAGCGCCTGCCCCACCCCTCTCCTTCCCCACTTGATGGTTCCCCAGGAGCTGCAGAGCATCTGGGAGGCGTCTGTGGCCGCAGAGCGGACCCTGCCCCCTCCCTCTAGCCTCCTGGAGGTCCTCCACAGAGGACAGTGTGGAATCCGGCAACCCTGAGTTCTTGTCCCAGCCCTGCCACCCACAGCCACGTGACCTTGAGCAGACTCCCCAGGTTGAACCATATGAAATTGCATTTAAAAAAATTTTTTTGAGACAGGATCTCATGCTGTTGCCCAGGCTGGAGTGCACTGGTGTGACCACAGTTCACTGCAGCCTCGACCTCCTGGGCTCAAGAGGTCCTCCTGCCTCAGCCTGCCAAGTAGCTAGGACTGTTGGCAAGTGCCGCCAGGCCCGGCTAATTGTCTTGTATTTTTCAAAGGGACGGGGTCTCCCTATGTTGCCCAGGCTGGTCTTGAACTCCTGGGCTCAAACAGTCCTCCCACCTTGGCCTCCCAAAGTGTTGGGATTACAGGCAAGAGCCACTGCGCCCAATTGAAATTCTGTTTTTCTGGTTCAAAAACGTGAAATATCAGTAGTTCGATATGGTTCGCCCTTAGGTTTGATCTCTGTGCCCAGTTCTGTTATCAGTACGGTGTCCTTCGCAGGGTTCTGGGGAGAGAACAGTCAGTGTCATGTGGACGGCCTTCCCCTAGGAGGTCCTCAGTAAACGTCCGGTAATAAAGGGGGAACTGTGTGGCCCAGGCAGAGAGGGGGTTCCTGGGCTTAAGAAACAATGTGGGAAGGATGGGCGTGGAGGAGGATTTTCTATCTCCCTGCCCATTTGCTCCTTCCGGCATCCTGAGGTCTCCACGTTGGCCACCTGGGTTAGGAGGGGGCCTGAAGCCCAGAGGGGCAGGTGACTTTCCTGCCATCACACAGCAGGGCAGAGCGGCGCTGGTCTCGAGTTCGGGCTCAGGCACGGGTGTTGTCAGCAGAAGGCTGCCTTCCCCTCCAGCCCCTCCGTCTCATTCCCAAAGGCCAGGCTGTCACTGGGGCGGGAGGGACTCCACCCCTGCTCACCCTGCGGTGGCCTCTTCTCTCCTCCAAAGGTAAGAGACACACCTGGACGAGCCCCCAGTGCTGACGCGGCTCCAGCTGCCGGGGCTGAGGCGTTTGGTGCCTGGAACCGACGTCCCTGCGGAGGATTCCTGCCAGACCCTGCCCGGCTCCCCCGACCGGTCCTTGTGCCCTCGCCAGCTACCCTGTTGGCCATGACTCAACAAACCAGTGTTGGGAGCTGTCTGCCTCCCCCACCCAGTGCCTTTCTGCGCCCCTTCTCTCCCGGGGAGCTGTCTGCATCCGCCACGCCCTCCAACCACTGCCCTCAGCCCCTGACCTTATTTATTGCCCTCCCCTGCCTCACCCCCAACCTACCTTGTGATGATTTTAAGTTTGCGTGTGTCCTGGGTGGGGCTGGGGGCTTCCCAAACGCAGTGTCCGAGGGGCCGCCTGGCCGGGCTTTCTCGTTGCTGTATTAATGGAAGATGAAGCGCTAGGGCACGGCCTCTGAAGCTGTGTGTGGTCCCTTAGAGGCGAGCCCTGGAGCCAGAGCAGTGAGCGTGAGATTCACCCACCCTCTCCCTCTCCCTTCAGCTCTGGGAGGCAGGAGCAGTGCCCCCTCCCATGGGCTGGCCCAGGACCGCAGGCGAAACCTGGCTCTGGTTTCTTTGGTTTTTGTATGTTTGTTTTTGAGACAGAGTCTCGCTCTGTTGCCCAGGCTGGAGTGCAGTGGTACAATCTAGGTTCACTGCAACCTCCGCATCCCAGGTTCAAGCAATTCTCTCACCTCGACCTCCTGAGTAGCTGGGATTACAGGTGCCCGCCACCACACCCAGTTAATTTTTGTATTTTTAGAAGAGATGGCGTTTCTCCATGTTGGCCAGGCTGGTCTTGAACTCCTGATCTCAAGTGATCCACCTGCCTCGGCCTCCCGAAGTGCTGGGATGACAGGTGTGAGCCACTGCGCCCGGCCCTGTTAGGTTTCTTTGAGTGCCCTCATGGCCTGCCTGGTTTTTGCTTAGCCTGTCTTCAGCCTGAGGAGCTGGGAAGCTCCGGTGGATGCTGTGAACTCACTCGCTGAAGAGCAGCCTTCAGGTGCATCCCCGGCCAGGGCACGTGGCTCCCTCCGCCATGAATTCACTTCTCTTCAGGAGGTTTGGCTTGGCATGAAAATACTTCATTCAGGGTATGGGCAAATGCTTCTGGAAAACCCTTCCCTGAAGAGAGAGAACGTGTGTGTGTGTGTGTGTGTGTGTGTGTGTGTGTGTCGGTGTTCACACCCTCCTATCCTTCCTGCCTCCTGCCCCAAACCCTGGGTCCCTGGGTCTGGAAGGGCCTCCTCTCCAAACTGGGAGCTCCTGGGCCCCACCATTCAGGTTTTGTCCTAGCTGCTGGCAAACAGTAAAGAAACTCACTTTCCCTGTGGCACGTTATGCTTCAGAATTAAAACAATGAAGATTAACATTTGCATTGAGCCACCGTGTTGATCAAAAGACCATGATTGCCTGTGTTTCCGAGATGCATCAGTGGAAAAACTGTGGTGCCTTGACTTGCTGGAACACTTCCTAAGCCGCCGTGAAAGGAGGGGCCAGATCTGTGTGTTCATGCAGCTCACACACGTGATGCTGAACAGATAAGGCCATCTACACACAGATAATCAGAATGAGTTCTACAAACATACATGTACGTACGTAGAAGTGTCTTTTAAATGGACAAGCACTTCTGCTTACATATGGTGCACTGAATATGTTCATATTTTCCTCTGTCCCTCAAAACCCCACTAGAATGACATAAAGGAATGAAAGTGGCATAAACCACGAAGACAGAAAGAAAAGGAGAGAAGATGACAGCGAGTGACAGATATCTGAAGAGCTCTGGAAGCCGTAACAGTAAGATTTGCTTAGTGTCAACCCCAAAATGTCTAGAAAGAAGGAAGCCAAAAGCACAAACAAGCATGGACAAGCCCATTTACTCTGCAGAATCGCCCAAATGCACAGAACTTGGAGGGGCCAGGTGTCCCGAAGGTGGAAGTTCAGGGTGGGTCTGAGGATTGTCTTGACTGAAAGAAGTGTTTACACCTGCAGGTCCCCTCTCTCGGCCTGGTGACTGCCCTTCTCTGACCATGGTAGGAGACAGGTTTACTGCCGGCCAAGGGGGATCTGAAAAGATTCTGGATTGGGGACCCCAAGGGTAGCCAAAGGCTGGGGCAAGGTGCCTTACTGAAATCAGCCTGTAAATGGAGAAGCCCTAATTCCCCATTAAAATCCGTGATGGAGGCTGATAAAAGCCAGGCCTAGTCCCCATCCATCCACCCCCAAGGCAGGACATTTATTATTTTGAGACAGAGTTTCGCTCTTGTCGCCCAGGCTGGAGGGCAATGGCACGATCTTGGCTCACTGCAACCTCCACCTCCCGGGTTCAAGCAATTCCCCTGCCTCAGCCTCCCGAGTAGCTGGGATTACAGGCATGTGCCACCATGCCCGGCTAATTTTGTGTTTTTAGTAGAGATGGGGTTTCTCCGTGTTGGTCAGGCCAGTCTTGAACTCCTCACCTTGTGATCCACCTGCCTCAGCCTCCCAAAGTGCTGGGATTACAGGCGTGAGCCTCAGCTCCCGGCTGGCAGGACATTATTGAATTTCTCTCTGGGAAACTGATCAAAGAGAACAGATGGACAAGTCCTCACACTGGGGGCTCCCCAAACAGTGGGTCTCTGCCCAGTCCACTGTGAGACCTCCGGTCTACAAGCCTCACCCACATGTTCAGTGCTGCCTAGTAGCTTTGCTGTGTTTCACTTATAGTGGAACGGTTTTTGTATGTTTGTTTGTTTTTGAGACAGAGTCTCGCTCTGTTGCCCAGGCTGGAGTGCAGTGGTGCAATCTAGGTTCACTGCAAGCTCCGCATCCCAGGTTCAAGCGATTCTCTCACCTCAGCCTCCTGAGTAGCTGGGATTACAGGTGCTGGGATTCATCGACGTCTGATGAAATCCAATAACTGAAAATACAGAGACTCCAGTACACAGAAAAAAGGAGTCAGAGGAAAATCCCCTGAAGTATTGCACCTATTAAATGAGAAAAGAATGTTATTTTTTTAAAGGCAGTGTTAAAATTCTTGAACATTAAAAATATAATAGCAGGAATTTAAAATGCATGAGAAGGGATGGAAGAGGAGAGAAATCTCCGAGAGTAAAATGCATAAACGCAAAAAGAGGGAAAAGTCAAGAATACTGGAAAACAAGAAGACCAGCTCAACATGGAAGAGCCATCAAACAGGAATTTCAACCTGAGAAACAGAAAACAGAGGAGAGGAGATGGTTGAAGAAATGACACAGAATACCTCCCAGGACTGAAGGGAATGGGCTTCCACAGAGAACCCTGCAAGTGCTCAGCGCAGGGACACGAGGCCTCCGTACCGGTGTGGCCCCGGCCACCATCCCGAGCAGCAGTTTGGTGATGCCCAGCAGGCGAAGGTGGGCGCAGCCTGCAGCCGTCCCTGAGGTCTTGCTGAAACACAGATGCTCGCTCGCCAGCTCTGGGGTGGGACCCAAGTGTGTACATCTAACAGGCTTGCAGGTGACACATGGTTGAAGGGCCACACCTTGAGTAGCGCTGGCGCACTGGTCCCGGAGGAGCGTTGGAGCTGGTCCCGGAGGAGCGCTGGAGCTGGTCCCAGAGGAGCGCTGGCGCACTGGTCCCGGAGGAGCGTTGGAGCTGGTCCCGGAGGAGTGTTGGAGCTGGTCCCAGAGGAGCGCTGGAGCTGGTCCCGGAGGAGCGCTGGCGCACTGGTCCCGGAGGAGTGTTGGAGCTAGTCCCAGAGGAGCGCTGGAGCTAGTCCCAGAGGAGCGCTGGAGCACTGGTCCCGGAGGAGCGTTGGAGCTGGTCCCAGGGGAGCGCTGGAGCGCTGGTCCCGGAGGAGTGTTGGAGCTGGTCCCAGAGGAGCGCTGGAGCGCTGGTCCCGGAGGAGTGTTGGAGCTGGTCCCAGAGGAGCGCTAGCGCATAGTCCCCGAAGGAGCGTTGGAGCTGGTCGGAGGCGGCACTGGAGCACTGGTCCCAGAGGAGCGCGCTGGTCCCGGAGGAGCGCTGGAGCTGGTCCCAGAGGAGCGCTGGAGCTGGTCCCGGAGGAGCGCTGGAGCGCTGGTCCCGGAGGAGTGTTGGAGCTGGTCCCGGAGGAGCGCTGGAGCTGGTCCCGGAGGAGCGCTGGAGCTGGTCCCGGAGGAGTGTTGGAGCTGGTCCCGGAGGAGCGCTGGAGCACTGGTCCCAAAGGAGCGCTGGAGCTGGTCCCGGAGGAGCGCTGGAGCGCTGGTCCCGGAGGAGCGCTGGAGCTGGTCCCGGAGGAGCGCTGGAGCGCTGGTCCCGGAGGAGCGCTGGAGCTGGTCCCGGAGGAGCGCTGGAGCGCTGGTCCCGGAGGAGCGCTGGCGCGCTGGTCCCGGAGGAGCGTTGGAGCTGGTCTCGGAGGAGCGCTGGAGCACTGGTCCCGGAGTAGTGCTGGAGCACTGGTCCCGGAGGAGCGTTGGAGCACTGGTCCCGGAGTAGCGCTGGAGCACTGGTCCCGGAGGAGCGTTGGAGCGCTGGAGCGCTGGTCCAGGGCAGTGGTGGTTCCCCTTGGCTGCTCGCTGGAATCACCTGGGGAGCTTTGAAAGTACTCATGGCAGACCCACCACTAGAGATTTGGGTTTAATTGATTTTGAACGGATCCTTGGCTGGCGCTGGGATTTAGAAAGCTCTCCAGAGGACTCCAACCTGCTGGGAGGCCTCAGGACCGTTGCCCTCCAGAAACTCGTCTACGTGGGCTCCAGGAGACATGCACGGAATATTTACAGTTCAGATTCAGAAACAACCCAAAAGCCTTCAACAGAGGAATAGATGCGTAAATTGTGATATATGCAAACAATAGAATATTATGCAGTGGTGAAACTGAATCACCACTCTCAGAGTATGTGCATCTCACCAATAATGCTGACAGGCAGGTGGCAGAAAAATACACGACACCATCTATGTAGAGATTTCACAAACATGCAAGAACGTTATATATTAAAATATATTTTACACAGCAAGTGAATTCAGAACCAGGAAGGATAACACAGACTCGGGACACGTCTTGGGGAGAGGAGAAATACAATTAAAGAGGAATCTTAATGTTTTATTAAGCTCAGTGATAGGTAGACGGGTTTGTAATATTTATATTTTACTTCATATTGTATATTTATATGTTTATTATAGATTTTTTTTTTTTTTTTTGGGGTGTTGAGACGGAGTCTCGCTCTGTCACCCAGGCTGGAGTGCAGTGATGCGATCTTGGCTCACTGCAGCCTCTGCCACCTGGGTTCAAGCAATTCTCCTGCCTCAGCCTCCCGAGTAGCTGGGACTACAGGCACCCGCCACCACACCCAGCTAATTTTGTATTTTTAGTAGAGATGGGGTTTCACCATGTTGGCCAGGATGGTCTTGAACTCCTGACCTTGTGATCCACCTGTCTCAGCCTCTCAAAGTGCTGGGATTACAGGCGTGAGCCACTGCGCCCGGCCTAGATTTGTGTTTTTTATATGTCAGAAATATTTTAAAGTAAATTAAGGAGCTACACCAAACCTTGTTATGAAATTTCAGGACAGCAGGATAATCGGAATATATTCCAAAGCCTTCTAAAGAGAGAGAGAGAAAAGTCACATACAAAGGATCAGGAATTCCAATGCCACTGAAATTCTCAAAGCAAAATTTGACGTCAGAGCACAGTGAGACAAGATCTTCTGAATTCTGACGGGAAACAATGTCTAATTTGACTTTTCTATCCAGCTAGAACTTAGCGAAGTGTGCAGGCAGAATGAAGGTATGTTCAGACATGTGGGTTCTTGAAAAATATCACCTCCCTCGCCCTCTTTCTCAGGCAGCTACTGTAGGATGTGCTCCAACCAAACAAGGGAGAAAACGAAGAGAGACGGGGCACGGGAGAGAATCCTCGGGGTGGAGCTGGGTGGCTGGTCTAGAGGCCAGCGCCAGCCAGCCCAGATGAGGACAGAGGAGGTGCACAAGGATCTACAAGAAGCATGTGTGTGTCAGGGAGCTCGAATATGAGAGCGACATCATGACATTTTATAATACATAATGCTCTATAAAATTACAAAATCAAGACATAGAATCCGCATGAGGTTTTAGATACTGAGGAACTAAAGGCGTTCGAAGGTGACTGACTGGAGATGAGCAGGGCATTCCTGCGTTACGTTATAAACTTTGTAGGACAGTTCCCCTTTTAGAACAATAGACTCTATTTCATTTATAACAATGAGTTTTTATGGAAAAATACACGCCAAACTGCTGACAAACTCACAGGGCAGGGGGGTGGGGCAGTGAGAGCCCCAAGGCCATAGCAGATGAGCACGTAAACACCTGCCTGGCCGAGAAAAGACAGCCTGTGGGCTGCCCCGCAGTCCCTGGGTCCACACCCGACCTGGGAACACCAGCCTTGCAGTGGTTCGGGCCTCTGCCCGCAGTTCTAAACCGCAGGTGCGCTACCCACGCCTCTGTGGGACCGACGCCCTCTCAGACCTGATGCAGATGAGCCCCCACACTCTGCCCCCCACCAGAACCCCACGACTGGGCCGGACCCAGTCCCCGCACTCCCAGGGTGGGTTCCAAATGCGTTTCCTAGAAAGGCATTCAGTAAGATGACGTCGGTGTGGAAGGGGCAGCTTCGGAGCCGAGCTGGGATGCAGATCCCTCCACGGGAGCCTGTGGCTGCCTTGGGAGTCAAGGGTTCTTGTGGGCTCGCCTGGGAACCAAGAAATCCTTTCTTCACAAAACTGCTTTCTTAGTCCCAAGCAACCAACTTACAAATTAGCTTTCAGAGCTGAGCCTCTCCTGGTAGAAGGTGGAAGGTGGAAGGTGTTCTGTGACGTCCGTAAAAATCAGGGCGCACAGAAGGGACCAGATTCGGCCTAAATACCAGATAACACAAGTGGCTCCTAAAAGAGGCAGCAAGGGGAGAGCTCATGAACTCTGGACGCTGGTTTCAAATCCCAGGTCTGCTGCTTAGTGCCTGAAACTATGGTGCTTCTCTGTACACCTGTCTTCTCATCTGTGAAATGGGGATAACACTTCCTTCTCAGGATGACTGTGGACATTTAAAACGTGAGAGCCCAGTACAGCTCCCACTGCCGTGACCAGCACGTCAACAGCTACCAGCTGTTTCTCTGGTAGAATTCAGCGAGGCAGTGAGTGCCTCAGGTGTGATCGAGATGCCATAAGAACGGGAGCAGGGTGGCTGCCTGGTACCCGGGGCGCAGTAAACCTTCACGCTCCTCCCTTTGGGGCTTTGGAATAATGGTGCTAATCCACATTCATTCCCCCGTGGAGCATTAATTGGGCAGCTGCTGGTGCAGGTGCAGTGTTCTAGGCCCTGGGTTTGGTAGTGGACGAAACAGACGTGGCCCCGCCCTCCTGCTGCAGCTGAACCACCCAAGGGACTTGGGTGCACGGCCCCAAGCTGATGCTCAACCCTGGTGCACAGGGAGGATTTCTGCCCCAAAAAGTGGGGGCTGGCACAGGCCCAGCTGGTTAGAGGATTTCTGCCCCAAAAAGCGGGGCCTGGCGCCTTCCCCACGTGACAAAACGCCCACTTTCTGCCCTCGCTTCTCAGGGTTCTGGAAAGTCGGCGGATCTGTCCCGCCTGATCCCGCCTCTCGGTGAACCGGTGGTGGCAGCGGCCTGTTCTGCCAGGCCGGGCGCAGCAGGCTGAGGAGAAGGAAGCTGCCTGGCTCGGGGAGGGAGGCCCGTCAGGACTCCAGGCCACGCCCTCCCTGGCTCCCCCCTTCCCTCGCCGCGACCCTCACCCCCTCTCACCGACTGACTTTGCCGACGACAGACAGAGCCTCAGTTCCACGAGCCGCGGCCAGGGAGGGAGGAGGCATCCTCCTGTGCGGGGTGACCGTCACCATCATGGCCACCATTTGTGGAGTCAGGCACCTGCGTGAGCTTTGGGGAAATCCCCGCCCACCTCGGAGTCAGGCACGTTTGTGCTCCCACTTTACAGAGGAGGAAACTGAGGCCCAGAGAGGTCGAGGGCCCGACTTGGAATCGGGGCGGTCAGGTGCCAAAGACCACGCCCCACAGGCTTCACCGCAAGGCCAGGGTTTGAGATGAAAAAAGCTGGGGTTCCAAGGGCAGAGGATGCAGGTGTCAGCAGCACAGATGGAAACTTCTAGATGAACGGGGGAACGTCAGCCCCTTGTCCCGCTGGGGTATTTTCCCAGTGCTGATGTAACAAATGAGAGTGAGTCTCAGTCAGTGCAGAGATTTCGCCCCCGTTCCGGAAACTGTCTCGTGTCCGTGGCCCCACCTGGCTGTGAGCCCCAGGTTCGGAGCTCAGCCTTCCTTCGTGGGCACTTGGGGGTGGGTTCACTGAAGCAGCCGCCCTTGCAGGTGCAGGGGTGGCTTTGGCTGAGAGGGTTTCCAGCAGCTTCCATGGATCAAGTGGGCTCTCAGGGCCTTTGAAGCCCAGGGCCTGTCTCTAGGCTGACCTTCAACCTCAAGGAGGGCTGTGGGAGCCGGGCCACGGAACGTGGCGCCTGAACTCCAAGAAGGGGAGCTGATCCCTCGGGCCCCAGCACTGCTCACAGGCTCCCACAGCTGTCTCTCTTCTTCCCACAAGCACCTGCCTCCCCTTTTTAAAAATTGCAGCAAAATTACGTAGAATTTAAGTGTATAGTTCAGTGGCATGAAGTACATTCACAGCAGTGTGTAACCGTTACCATCAAACATTTCCAGAACTTTCCCATGATCCCATACACAACTCCCCGTTTCGCCTCCCCCAGCCCCAGGAGCCACCCTTCCACTTTCTGTCTCTGTCGCTGACTACCCTGGGTTCCTCATATAAGTGGAATCATGTATTTGTCCTTTTGTATCTGGCGTCTGTCACTTAACAGCATGTTTTCAAGGCCCATTCCTGTTGGAGCACCTGTCCGATTTTTATTCCACTTTATGGCTGAGTGATATGTGTGTGT